CCCCCCCCCCCCTCCCCCCATTATTATTGTGTAATTTAATTATGAATTAATTTTCATGTCTTTTTCATTTACTGATCAGAGGTTTGTATCTAATGTTTCTTGTTTTTCTTATTGGTTTCTGATACTTTATCATGACATATTTGTGAGCACTTACCACATGTAATAAAATAAATTTTAATGAACAGTATTTGATCGTTTATGTTCATAAAATGGAAAAGTGATCCATCTCAACCTGGAAATGAGAATTAAAAATTTGCTTTGTACAGATTCATATTTCCATTAAATTTTGAGAAATGCTTCTAGGATATTCTCTAATATATTATTTTGAACATATTCTCTATTATTGATTGAAATTTATCAAAAATCATAAATATTGATAGATATAGCTTCTTATCTTGATTTTGTAGTTATTTTTATTATATGTAACAAAATGTGTGTTAGAATGTTTTTACTAGCATTCTTAATTATTTTTTTTTATTTTGAGAGTTGAATTTGGTAGCTCCTCTTGTATGTGCCGCAAATTTCAAATGCAATTATTTTTAATTAGGCTTTAATTGCTTTTTTGTTAATCAAGTTTTACGATTTCGTAAATTTTCATATTTTGCATCTAACTTTCAAACATTTACACATTTTGACACCCAATTAATTGGTTGGTTGGTTGTCTTTGTATCATTGATTGATTGTTGATATAATGTGTATCGCTGATATGATATGTTAAATGTTAATATAACACATTATGTCACATTGACATCTATATTTCATGTTGGTAATCAACATGACACATTAGCAATTGACATACAACATCAGTTATATGTTGGGAATATGCCTAAATATCTTTAGTTTGAAAAAAAAAATTCATATTTCAAAAAGTGTGTTATATTTTAAATTTATTTGGGATGTTGTTTAGGTAAAGATAAGAAATTTATTTTTATCATTTAGGTTTAGGACATTTGCAAATTCATTTTAAGATTAAGATAATGTTATTATTTGAAATTTTGTATTATAGTTTTGTTCTATAAATAGAGTGCCCATGAATAAAATTAGGTGAAATTGCTCTACTAAAAATAGATAGCAACAAAATACAAATACAAAAGAGCCCATTAGTTGCATTAAGAGTCAAGGTTTTATGACCTATAAGGATGGAAGTTAAAACAATTTTTTCACAAATTTTCCCTCTATCTTTAATGGAGAAAACTATGATCTTTGGACGATGAGAATAGAGACATACCTACAAACTTTAGATCTTTAGGAAATCGATCGTAGAAGAAGACTATGATGTTTTGGTGTTGCCAAATGACCCAACAATGGCCCAAATAAAGATTTACAAAGAAAGAAAAATCAACAAGGCAAAGGAAAAAACTTATATGTTTGTTTGTGTCTCATAGAATATTTTCCTCAGAATCATGACTCTCAAATTGTCGAAAGTAATTTGGGATAATTTAAAGGAAGAATATGTAGGAGATGAAAAGACCTTAAGCATGCAAATGTTAAATTTGATGAAGAATTCGAGTCACAAATAATGAATGAGTCTAAGACAATTAAAGAATACTTAGACAAATTATTTGTCATTGCCAATAAGGTAAGATTAATAGGCACACAATTTTCCGATTCCAAAATTTTTGAAAAAATTCTAGCAATTGTGCCCAAAAGATATGAAGCTTTAATAGCAGTCCATACAATGGATTTTTGTGAAATCATTTTGTCAAAAGTGTTTCATGCATTACAAATATTATAACAAAGGATACTTATGAAACAAGAAGGAATTGTAAAGGGTGTATATTTAGCCAAATGAAAGAGCAATAATGGTAGCAGAAACAAGAAGAATAATTCATTCTAAGAGGAAGACCAAAATAATAACACTCGATTTTTTTTTTTTCACCATATCCTTATTGGAAAAAGACTTATCATCCACAACTGAGATTTTGGTGGAGGCCTAATACAAGATGTTACAAGTGCTATCAATTAGGATACATGGAGAAAATATGTAAGACTCATCAACAAAAAAAAGGCCAAAATTGTTGAAAATCAACCAAAAGAGGAAGAACAACTACTTCTAATGTCATGCTCTACAACCAACAAACCCACTGAAAGCTTGACTTATGGATAATAGTTATACAAACCATATGACTTATGACTGAGAAATCTTCAAAGAGTTTAACAAAATTGATAGTTCCAAAGTCAAAAAGGGAATGGAACATACATGCGAATAAAGGCAAATGAACAATTGTTATTAAAAGTCATTATGGTTTGAAATTAATATATGATGTTCTATATGTTCCTTGCATAAATCAAAATTTGTCAAGTGTTGCTCAATTATTGGAGAAAGGCTACAAAGTGTTATTTGAAGATAAGAATTGTGTAGTTAAAGATAAAAGCAACAAAGAAGTGATCAATGTTCAAATGAAAGAGAAGATCTTTGCTTTAGATTTGATGAAAGGGAAGTCATAGAAGAAGATTATGATATTTTGGCACTGCTAAACAACCCTATAATGGCCCAAATAAAGATTCATAAAGAAAGAAAAATCAAGAAGGCAAACACAAAAACTTGTTTGTTTATTTGTGTCTCAAAATATTCTCACTAGAATCACGACTCTTAAGTTGTCAAAAGCAATTTTGGATTACTTGAAGGGAGAATATGTAAGAGATGAAAAGATTTAAAGCATGCAAGTGCTAAATTTGATGAGGAATTCTAGTTATAAAGAATGAAGAGTTCCAGACAATCAAAGAATACTTACATAAATTGCTTAACATTGCCAATAAGATACGATTAACAGGCAAGCAATTTCTTGATTCCATAATTTTTTGAAAAACTTCTAGTAACTATGTCCAAAAGATATGAAGTTTTAATAGAAGTTCAGGAGTATACAAAGGATTTGTGTAAGATCACTTTGAAGGTGTTGCAAGCATTATAGACATTAGAACAAAAGATGTTTAAGGAACAAGAAGGAATGGGGAATGATGTATATTTAGTCAAATGGAAGAATAACAATGGTAACAAGAAAAAGAAAATAAGGAAAATAAGAAAATAAGTTTATTTTATCTAACAAATAAATTTTAAATAAGGAAAAGACAACCATTGGTGTCTGGTAAAAGAATATAAGCACTGAAATTTATTTTATGGACTGCTATTTCTCTATGAGAAAATATTCTAGGAAATTAACCGGCAAATCAAGAAAAGAAATATGTAAAAAAAATTAATTATGTAATATTATTGACTGATGGAATGATAGAATTCTTCATGTTCACATGAAGATACATCGATTACTCATTACTTCATAGAAAACATCATGACAGAATAACAGATAGTTGCCCAATTTTATTGTTTTGGTAGGGCTAATTGACAAATATCAGTCTGGGATAACGATTGTTTAAGCCAAAGTTATAAAAATAAAATAAAATAAATAAAATAATGGGATAGAAAGATTTTCATTAATTAAGATAAATAAATATGTTCTAAAAAAAGGTTTATAAATTTTCTCATTAACTAATGACAGAAGTAATTGTCTTCCAAAAATAAAAATAGAGAAATGCACCCAAAATGAACTTTTTAACTCAAAAGTCAATAAAACAATTCAATGTTTAATGTCACTTTCATGTTATTGAAATTCAGCAGTCACAGAATAATTCCCCAACATTTTTTGCTTCTTCATATTTTTTTATCAGGCATCTAATAAATAAATAACTTGTGTTCCTGTGTTAGGAAACACACTTCAATTATCCTTGTTGTAGCGGGTCGGATCTTGGGTCTCGGTCTTCTCGTTCCTATCCTGGTAGTCCGATGTGAGGGGGGTGTGCCTGCAAAGACACTCCAACGCTCAAGCAAGTGCTAGGCGTAATAAATGCGGTAGTTGAAAAGTTGGGAACGTACCTCGAAGGGGGTCTATTTATAGAGTTTCTTGTTGGGCCGTGATTAGGGACTGGGCCCCGGATAATTAGGGGGTTAAACCGAAATATTATGTAAATTAATCTCTCTGTAATCATCCTAGTGAAAATTTGTGTCTGGACCGAGAAAACCGACCTGTTCCCTTTCATGAGTAGTCAGCGTGCTCGGGGTTATCGGTTGGTTCGGTCTCGGGTGTACGCGCTCGGCCTATTCGGTCACATACTCGTACGTTCGGACTGTTCGGTCACCATACGGTATACAGCCCCCGTAGCGTCGAGGATATCAGGGACGAAGACGTTAAAAACGTGCAAAGCAGTGGTTCTTGATGTAGGAGATTAAGTATTGATGCCGACCGCTAATGATTGTGTGCGTATTTCGTGTGGTTGGTGTCGTGCTTCCTCGAGGGCAGTCAGGCTCTTCGGTTAGAGCTAATGCCGGTTTATGGAGATTCGCCGACTCGTCGACTGGGTGAGGCGTATGTGTGGACTTCCCCATAGATGGGGCAGAGGCTAAGATTTCAGCCGAAGGGGAACCAGAATAAGACTTTAAAGGGGTCCTCGAATAGGATCTTGGTTAGGCCGATTTTGGGTCGAGCGTTGGCCGAGTTGTTGAGTGGGAGTTTGGGCCGAGTGTTGGCCGAATGCTTGAGTGACTGGGCTTTGTGTTGAAGCCTGCGCTGAATTAAACCGAGACCCGGATTTTGCCGAGGCCTTGGATGAGTGGATCCTTTACCAATCTTGATTTGGCCGAGATTGGGTCGAGGCCTTGGATCGGTGGGTTTCGTGCCGAGGCCTGTGCTGGATTGAGCCCAGGCCCGGCTTTTTCTGAGGCCTTGGATGGGTAGACTCGAGGTCGAGATTCTTGGTAAATGAAACATATGCCGAGGCT